GTGCTTGTAGACCGCCTGGAAGCTGATCTCGCCGACCAGCGTTGCATGCCAGTCCGAGCCGTCGAAGGTGCCAGCGTACGACTGGTCGAGGGTCCTCTTGTTCTCGTCGCGGTCGTCGATGGGCGTGGTCCACAGCGCCGTGGCGGCGACCTTGCATGCTTCGTAGCGGCTCGCTGCATCAGCCACGATAGTCCGCTCGATGCTGTCCTGAAGCTCCCTTATCAAAGCGTCCTGCCTGAAAGAGGCGGCGAGCTGCCTGAACTGCGCCTCGATCGCCTTGCGGGCGCTGTAGAGGCCCTTCAACGCCGAGCCGTCGGAGTCCATGCTAGCCCTGGCTGCGGAGTCCTGTCCAGACGCTACGTACTTGCGAAAGTCGGTCCTGGCGTCGGCGACGGTGCCCAGCAATCGGTGCGCAGCGTTCCAATCACGCCTCTCGGGAGAGCTCGGGTGCAATATCTGGATCACGTGCCCGACGAGCCCGACCGTGTCGCTGTTGAGGTGATCATGATTCCCGACCATCTGTTCGAACACGCCCTTCAAGAGATCGGCGGTGGCTGTTCTGACGGGGACTGGGAAGGGGTTCTCCAGATCGGCCACGCGCAAGATCTCGTTAACCTTGACGATGAAACTCTCCCTGGCGTCGGTAACCATCAAGTCGGCTGGCTGGATCGTGCTGATGGTGTTGCCAAACCCTTCCTTTGACACCTCGATGCTCATGAGGCGCCCGATCTCCAAGCAAGCTTCCTTGGCCGCGGTGACCTTGGCACTGATCCTGAAGCAGCCGCTGTCCTGCGCGATCGTCAAAAAGCGTTGCGTATTTTTCAACTCCTCGATCGTGCTGCCAATCGCCGCAGACTCCGTGGCGTTGGACTTCCAAGCGGCCGCGATACTTTGCACCTTGAAAACGCAAGCACCCGTCACCAGGTATCACATCGCCCCCCTCGGCATCACGATCTATACATCGATCTGACTATCAATCTACTTATCGGTTCCCCGATCCATGTATCTATCGGGACAACCATCGGGACTCCCAACACGACAATCATTGGGGACACGACTGGGGACACCTCCAGGGCAATCATCGGGACCACCGTCGGGGCAATGATATGGGCAACCATCGTAAACATCAGGCCAACTATCGGGGCAATCTTCGGGGCAGCCACCAGGAAAACCATCGGGGCGACCATCGGAGCCACCATTTATATATCTAGCGGTCGACCTATAGATATATCAATCGATCGATCTCATTATCAAATCCGTAGATTACCTACCTAGCGGCACCTATTGATCGATCTCAATGTCGGTGCACCGATCTCACTATCAATATCTATGTCGCCTTACTGCTCATCTGTCGTGGCAACTATCAGGACAGCCCTCGGGACAACCATAGGGGGGCAACAAATCGGGACAATCAGCTGGACATCCTCACAATTCTGTTGAGCATCTTGGAACACGTCTCATCGATGTCTGGCATGGCTCTAAGTGCTCCCCAGGACGGAGACCATTCACATAACAGTGGACGAGTGGGGCAAGAGTGGGTCGGTTCGAGCCCAGAGACTTTGGCCGCCAACGCTTCCAGGTAGGCCAACATCTTCGTCTCGAGCTCCTTAGTAGCACCCTCGCGCGAGCTCTTCCTCAGAGTTGCCATGGTCCTCACCGCGTCCTCCAGCTGCGGCATGACTGCAACCGCGTCGGCGTACCCAGTGAGGACCTTCGTGGCCGCGAGGATCTTGTCCACGCTGAGCGGGTGGGTCACCTGGGGGGCTGACCCGCCCTCCTCATGCCCTTCGCCCATACCACCCAAAGACGACCCTCATCCGCCTTCCCCCTCGTTTTCTGATCATTCACCACCGCCTTCCTGCGCCCAACCATAGCCTCCTCCTCCTCCTCCCCCGCTCACCCCCTCATGTTTTCTCACCCTACCCTCCCTAACCACCATCCTACGAGCCGCCCACCCCGCCCAGCCGTCAGACTTGGGCCCCCCTCCAAGTCTGGAATAAACCCACCCCTCGACGTCTCCATCCAACCCATCGCCCCTCTCACCTTGGTCCTCTTGATGGACGTGACGTTGCTCGCGAACGTGGTCGTCTCGCACATCCGCTCGTTGAAGAGGTACCTGAGGCCCTTCCACTGAGACTCGCTGATCGGCTCCGCGGCCGTCACCGCGTCGAAGTCGCTGGCGAACCTGAAGTTCAACGGGTCGGGGTCCATGACGTACTGGGCTGCCCGCAGACACTCCACCGCGGAGTTCACGCTCAACTGGATCTCCTCATCCGCGTCTTCCGCCACGGAGTTGATCAAGATCTGGTCCACCTGCTGGCACAGCTGAATGCACTGCTCCGTGGATCGCGTCGTGGACCAGCTTCTCAGCAGCGGACAAAACAAGTAGGAGAATGTAGCGCTTTCGAACCGTACCACCTTCGACGCTGCGTCGCCAGGGATTTGGAAGCCACAAGGATCCCGCCAATCAAAGCCAGCTTCGCCCTCGGGAGACGCCAGCGGATCCTCGCCATCAGCAGGCGGAACCCTCGAAGGCAATGCGATCTTGAAGAAAGTTGCGTAATCATCGGAGCCGCCGCTGGTTAACTCCAACCCCAATGCCGATGCAGCTCTGTTGCTTATCTCCACTGCCAGCGATACCGGTAATACCATGCCCGTCGAGACTAGAGCAGTCATCTTGGACTCGAACGCATCCTTGGGCAACGTGTGCAGCAGTTCTGGCTTCGCCAAATCCTCGGCGTAGGCCGCCAAGTCGAGGCGCTTCGTGATGAGCCCCGCAGCGTCGAGCTCAGTTTGGTTTGTGGATGCGCTGAACTGGTCCCTCCTGCCTTTCAGCCGCGCCCTCTTGTGCCCGAGGCTGTTCAGTCCACTCGCGATGGTGGTGAGGTTGATGGCCTTGATCTTATCGTTCAGCACGCTCTCGAAGTTCTCCCCGAGCTTGAGCGGGACGTTGGACGGCGCCCCCCCGATAACGGTGGCGGCATCGTCGTCGTCATCGTTCTTGTCATCTTCGTAGTCCTTGCACTCGACCACGGTAGCGACGAAGCCCCACCTCCCCTTGGTAAGTTTGGTCCAATAGCCGAACTTCGCAGGCGGCTCCTGCTCGGGAGACACTTGATCCAAGTCGTCGCCAGCATCTGCCAGACCTTCTTCGTCGGCCTTCGTCTGGTCGTCGCCATTGGGGGTCGCAGTGGCCTTCGGGAGGCAGTTGTCGTAGCTGATGTTCTGAAGGCGGCATCGCTTGTACTGGGCGTCCTCCTGGCCACTCGGACGAACCATCTCGGCGAAGCAGTCCTTGCCTGAGACGCCACCAGCTGGTCCCCCGCTATCAGCCTGTACTCGTCCTCGGACGTGCTGCGCGAGACGCCGTACTCGACGAGGACGCCCACGTCGCCCAGCCGACCAGTTTCGTTGACCAGCACCACTTGCATCTTGCTGGTCGGGTCGTCAGGGTTGTCGACAAGCGAGAGCTTGAAGCCCTCAACCTCGCGGCTCTGCTTAAAGTATTCCTGGGGCGGCAGCGGGAATCGCACGCGGGGGCGCACTCTCCCTACCCTTCGCGTAACCACCGCGTCTGCACTATCGTCATCCTCCCCCTCCATCTCCACCTCCGTCCACCTCGATGTCCGATTCCCCCCTCCCGAGACCCCCGTCCGCCGACCAGCCGCCTCTCCAGAGCATTCTTGATCTACGCCCCACCCTTGAGAGAGCCTATGCGTCGGCCCAAGCCGCAACTGTCAAAAACGGCCAGCCCCAGGGTGATTTGTTTAACAAAACTGAAGAACAATGGCAAAATCCCACCAGCCCTCTGGGCGTAAGTGGTCCAGGGCATTTCCTCTTCCAGAACCCCCTCTCCCTGCTTCCCCCCTGGGGTATGATCCATGATTCACCCTCCGCAAGACCCTCCCCCCCACATCCACCCCCCCTCCACCACCTTCCTCACCTCCCCCTCCACCTCCCGGTCCACCTCCCCCTTCCACCACCCCTCCACCTCCCCCTCCACCCCCCTTCCACCCCCTCCACCTCCCCCCTCCACCCCTTCGGATGTCCCCGAAAGCTTTTTGGGGAACCCACGGGAGGGCCCCAAGAAGGCTCTAAGAGGGCAACATTTTCTACTACCAGCGGTGGGGCCTCTGGTAGTAGAAAATCGGACACTCTTGGGGCCGTCTTGGAGCCCTCCTGGGCCCTCTTGGGGCCCTCTTGGAGCCTCTTGGGGGCCCAAGAGGCCTCCAGGAGCGCCCACACAGGGCCCCAGAGGGGCCCCAAGAGGGCAACATGTTCTACTACCAGTGGGGGGGGCGTCTGGTAGTAGAAAATCGGGCCCTCTCGGGGCCGTCTTGGAGCCCTCTCGGGGCACTCTTGGGGCCCTCTCGGGGCATCTTGGGGGCCCAAGAGGGCTCCAAGAAGGCCCCAAGAGGGCCCCAAGAGAGCCTCAGGAGGGCCCCAAGAGGGCAACATATTATACTACCAGCGGGGGGCCGTCTGGTAGTAGAAAATCGGGCCCTCTCGGGGCCGTCTTGGAGCCCTCTTGGGGCCGTCTTGGGGCCATCTGAGAACTTTGGAAACTCTTGCGGGCCCAAGAGGGCTCCAAGAGGGCACCGAGAAGGCCCCAAGAGGGCCACAAGAGAGCTCCAAGAGGGCAACATGTTCTACAACCAGCGGGGGGTCGTCTGGTAGTAGAAAATCGCGCCCTCTTGGGGCCGTCTTGGAGCCCTCTTGGGGCCTCTTGGAGCCTCTTGGGCATCGGACTTACGATGCCCAAAGCGCTCGGACTTAATATACCCAAAGCGTTCTTCCAGTGGAAGAAGGAAGAACGCTTTGGGCATCTTAAGTCCGATGCCTTTGGGCCTCAAAGGGATTGGACTCAAGATGCCCAAAGCGTTCTTCCTGTGGAAGAACGCACTTCCTGATCACCTCAAAGCGCCTAGGCGTCGTTCCTGGATGGGCTGGCGGGGATACGCGAAGCGTCAAGAATTGCTCACAGGTTGAAGCCCAAGGTCCTCGAACTCTGCGGCAGTGAGTCCACGCTTGCGCTTCGAAGCCCTGGTGAAGTGCGACTGGTTGCGGTACACGTCGCTGGAGTAGAAGAAGGCGCGGTGCTGGCTAGACCGCACGGCGGCGACAAACACCTCCGCAAAGCTCGGGTCCTCATTGCACTTGTCGATGACCGCTGCGGGGTTTCCGACGAAAGCGAAGGTGTTGCACACTGGCCCGCAGAGCCAGCACGCGGGTCCCGCAGGGAAGTAGACCTGCGACGGCGAGGGGATGAGGGTTGGAAAAGCACGGCCCTAACGTTCCTTGCCAGCTCCCAAAGCTCCACACTCGGAAACTTTCAAACTCGACATCCGTGATCCTGAACCCTCAAAACTAACGCCCCATAAACCTTGATAGAGCGAAGCACCGAACACATCCATATAAAAAAACACAAACCCGAATGGCGGTCAGTCAGGGCCCTCCGCTTTGGGAACCCAGGACCCGTCGGAAACAGATGCACCGAAAACGTGCCAGCGAGTGGGTTCCCAGACGACCTCCCTCCATTCTTTCCCAACCTTCTTCCACTCGAAGCTGTAGTTACCCCACTCCTTGCAGCGGAACTCCTCGTTGTCACCAGCCTTGGCAAGAGTGTTGGGGCAATCATTGCGGCCGCACTTCGAGGGCGCCTCGGTCAGCTCATCCATGTAGGCGTCCACGCCGCTGTTCGTCAAGTAGGGGCGGGGCTCGGCGGCCCTGCTGGGGGCGGTCTTCCCCGCGGGAGACGCCGTGGATGCAGACGCTGCTCCCGCAGCACCTGGTCGACGAGGCGCCTTGGCAGATGGTGGCCCCTCGGTCTTGACGTTCATCGCGCTGCCGCCCATGTTGCTGTGGAGGTCGGCGTTGTCATCCTTGTGGCCAGACTTGTCCTTCCCCTTGCCCTTGCCCTTGGCGCCCTTGCCGCAGCCCTTGGGCACCGAGCTGCCAGGCGCACCGGGAGGCATGGCTGCCGCGGCGCCACGGTCGCCCCCAGTGTTGGCACAGGGGTGCTGTCAGAGTGCCCGAACATCAAAGTTCAAAGTCGCCCCGAGGCTTGGGCTTGGGCCCCTATTATAGAGTAAGGTGTAGAGCAATGAACTGGCCACAGAGGGTGGCATGGTCACCTACACACCCCTCATTGGAAGAGCACGGGGCAGACCGATCAGTAGAACAGTCCAAGGAGAGGCCAAACCAAACCTCCGATACAGCAACGCAAGCGCGCACAATGCAACGCGTGCAATGCGGCCTGCATTCGCAGGCCTGGTTGCTTCAGGACCTCCTGAGTCCATACACATTCCATTCCTACCCTTCGGGGAAGGGAGTTCCCAGGCCACCGCCACCGCCCACTAGGTATCGAGGGGGATCGCGGGGCGTGGGAGCGTCCACGATGGCATGGCATGGATTTGAGGGGAGCCAAGAGAGCTCTACCTGGCCTACACGATGGCCGAAGATCTTGAGAGGGCATCCAAAATGAGGGGCCCCTGAAAGCCAAGTAACCCCTTCGTTCTCAAATCCACAAACTTGTCGGGCCACAGCGGCCCTCCCTGCTCTGGACCCCCACCCGCGCGCCCACTGGAGTACCAGAAGTCCTGGAGGCCACATGCCCAAGGTTCCTGCCTGGCCTGGAGCTCGGTGCGGACAGCAGGCCTAACACCCCGCCAAGTGAACACCCGACCGAACATTGCATTTGAAAGGACTGTCTAACGCTCGGAGCTTTTTAAGTCTAGGAGTGGCTCTCGAGGGCTCAGAGTTTGGGCAGTCCAGCGGGGGTACCTGGCGACGAGGACGGACTTTGGCGAGCCCGCCGCGGTTGCAGGCGGTTGAGCCTATATCTGATAGCAAGACAAGCCCACCGATATGTAGAGGCAATCCGTCGCTCCGATGTGAATGCAATCTGGCAGCGAGACGATCCCAACCCGATAGTGAGACAATCCCACAATGGCAGATTCACATGTCGTTTCGATGTGCCTGTATATGTCAGTGAGGCAGTCAGACAATCCCGATATGATAGTGAGACAATCCCAACCTGACATTGAGACAGCTTCATACTGAGCTAATCTGATATTACATTCACCTGTCACTCCGCTCTGACAATCTCGCCGTGAGGCCTATATCTGATAGTGAGACAAGCACAATCGGAGTGTACACGAATCAGTGTGCCCGCCAAAATGGCAATGAACGCACCCAACATTGCACAACATAGACGCACCCCCAAAGACGGCTCGCACCATAGATTGCACCACATAGATTGCACCACATACACGGGTCCATCTTAGATGGTTTGCCCGAGTTCCCCCTAGATTGCCAGACCAAGAGGGCTCCACCAAGAAGTTTCTGCCGAGAGGACACACCTAGGCGGCATGGCCAATCGATTCCACCGCATAGGCTGCACCACATAGATTGCAACACATCATAAGTTGCACGAGTAGATTGCTGGCCACGGCTTGCAGCAAGCACCACATATATTACACCACGTCTTCGTCGTCCGTGTCATCGTCGTCCTTGCTGTCGTCATCGTCATCGTCGTCGTCGTCGCCGTCGCCAATCTTACCAGCGTGGACTCCAAATAACAATTGCTTGCAATATACGGTGTCGGAGGCTCAGCACCCTTTCTTGTTTTACATTATTGCGGCTCTCGTCAGCCTGAGAGTCTGAAAGACTGAAAGACAAACGAGTGGAGGCGTGCCCAGCGGCACCTCTCGATGCACCAAGCTGCGCATCGCGCAACTTCGAAATATTACTCCTCCTGTTTCCTCCCTCCTCCTCACTCCGACCCCACATCCCTACTCAACCATCCTTCCCTTCCCCTACTAATCCTGAATGCCTTCCCCCCTCAGTCATTGCCGAGCGAGCCTGGCAGATGCAATATATTAGCGCAGCTGCGTCTGCGTCTCGTCAGCCGTGAGCGTGGATGGCGGAGTATCCGTCGGAAGGTACTCATCAACCTGCTGCGCGAAGGTCCCCATCTGCGTCTCCGCGTGGGCGGAGTCGGTCGCGAGCATCGCCTCCAGCTCCTCGTCCAAGGTCTGGCTGGGCACGGGGCCGAACGGGGAGGCCCTGAACACCCTGGGGCGGCCGCCGCCGTCGCGCTGCCCCTGCTCGCTCAACACTCCTGCCGCGAACCTTGGCCGTGGACGCGGCGTTTCTGATACACGATTGGCGAGTGGAGGAACTGCTGGAGGTGGCATGTTCTCGTTGTTGTTGCCGCCGTCCCCAGGCTCGTACGATTGTGACTCTTCCACGAGGGTCGGCTCCGCTAAAGCAGCCAGGGCATCGCGCTGGGTGGCATCATCAGGCAATATAGGAGCAGCGTCGGCAGTCCAGCCTCGAATGGCGGCGCTCCAAGCGTCGGCGTTAGCTGTCTGCACGTCCGTCAGAGACGGCTGCTGTGGGAGAGGGTGAGCGCCCGCCGCCTCATCCCGCTGATCAAATGGAAGCGTGGGCTGCGGCTGGGAGGGCGCCGTCGCCTGTGGGTGGACGCCAGTCTTCTTCTCGAGCAGCTGTTTCTCATTGTGGGCCTGCTTCTCCGAAATCAACTCCACCTCACTGTCGCTATCGGCAACCTCGCTCTTCTGCTTTTTTTGCTGCTGGCGGCCCTGCATCGGCCCCAGAACTGTCGCCGCGGCCCCCCGAACTGGCGGCCTCCAGAGACGCCTTTTTCTTCGACTTGCTGTCGCCGCCAACTTCCCTCGTAGTAAGCTCGATCTCAGCTGGCACGCGAAAACGTAGTACTCCCCCGAGTTGTTCTGGAAGCCCGTCGACTTCGAGTTGGAGTCGTAGGCAGTGACCTCTGACCTTGACCTTCTGCTGCAAAATTGGGCTCGGATCACCAGCGGCGCCATTTTCAGGCTGAGACATCCCAGAACGTGAGAAACACAAGTTGTGAGAAACACAAGTAACAGGTATGATCTGAAACTTCTAGCCACTGACTCAAACTGCGGCGAAACAATAATGGTAATCGTCGCCGTATTGCTTCCTGCAATTACAATGATATGTAAAGTGGGTCCAAGGGCTTCAGTCACATACAAATGCAAGTATTGGGTTCGGCCCCCGTGGACATGCCACGCAACCGTCGGAACACCCGTGCTCATCTGGTAGGGGGGGGGGGGCATGGGGCGGCGCGCGAATGAAACGCGACAGCTCCAGAAGGGCCCTGTCGCACCGATTTCATTGGATATTCCAAAATGTTCGTTCCACGTGAGCCACCATTGAGATTCAGTTTCTATCGGCGCCATCCACTGACCAGAATCGCCGTCCCCGGTGCTAGACTACAGTCGTACCCATTACTGGCGATACTAAAATATTACGCGGCCCTCCGCATGCCCATCGGCACGCCGACTGACGTCTTTCTCGTTTTTTTCCTAACCCTCATGTGGTGTTGGGTCCTCGTTTTGAAGAGACATCGCCCTGCGTCTCCTTCCTTCCTCCCTCCTCCCCCCTCCTCCATCCTCCCATCGCAGTCATCATCATCACCCATCTGTCCCATCACCGTCATCATTATCATCCATCATCATCACCACCACTTTCTAACACTGGCTCCATCATTATCCGTCCCCTACCCCCACCATCATCACCACTTATCAGCATCACCATCGTCGTCATCGTCATCATCGCGGCCACCACCGTCGCCATCATAACCCCCGTCATCGTCACAAACATCGACATCAGATTCGGCGCACCCCTCACGAGTTTCGTGGCCCCATAAGGAGCTCCACCGAAGGCCCCAGCGGCCGCGCCCGCACGCCTCCCCCAGACACATTTCGGCACAACCCTCACACGTTACGTTGCCCAATGGGGACTTCTACCGAAGCCCCAGTGGCGGCGCCCGCTTGCCCCCCCCCCACGCAAATTCTTGCACACCTCTCACACGCTTCGTGGCCCCATGATTAGGGTAATCAACCGAAGACGAAACTCACAACTGCTGCAACCACAACAACATATGGCTCAGGCTCGCGGCAGGCCAATTGCAGACGCGGAGCACATTTATTTCAAAATCCAACCAGCCAAACTTAAGTGTTAATTTCAAAACCAGCACGGCTACTTTATATTTGAGGCAACGCAAGACTCTTCACGCGCGCGCGCGCTCCAAACGCGGCCAACGCGCGCGCGGGGAGTGTTTCATTATCAATCGTCGAAGACGCGCATCAGGATACATTGAATTTCTGAATACAAGTGGTCAACCTTGAAGGTTCCCTGTAATTTCCAAGGCAACACTGCGATTTTACCATTGCCAGAAATACAGAACTCCGCACATGGACGCGCGCGCCCCGCGCGCAATTCTGCAACCGCATTAGTAGAACTCCCATACTACATTCCATTCGAAAATAGGAATCCAATCGCCCGCCCTGAAGAGCCCATGGTAGGTCACAGGCCAACATTATGTTTTCCCGTTTGGACATTGCGGAATTATACAAACGCGCGCGCGGGCGACGCGCGCCACGCCTGCGCGCTGACCGTTGACAACTGCAATTTCATTTGGGTTTTCTCAGAGCCCAACGCGCGCGTTCTACACGGGGAAATGTTCCAGAAACGCGTGTTAACTTCAACGTCCGGTTGGTCGCCGCTAAGGGCTCGTTGTAGTTCCCAGGCCAACATGGCGACTTGCCCACGGCGGCGAATACAGGACTCTACGAGCGCGCGCGGGTGGCACGTATCCCCCGCGCGCACTGGTCGGTGACCGATGCAGGTTTGCTTGAGTTCTCGCGCAAACATGGTTGCGTTCTAGATGAGATTTTCACAGGAGACGGCATGCTTCAGAATCCGATCGGGCACCGTTAACCATTCGTGTTAGTTCCCAAGCCAACAATGGTACATTTCGGCGATCGACAATGCACGACTCCTTCGGCAGCAAATGCGCGCGCGCATGCCCAACGGCCCGACATGCGCGCGCGGGCGGCCATGGAACGTGGGCCCGCGCGCACGGGTCACCCGATATCCGCTCGGAGGGTTAGCACTAGCTTCTTAGCCAAAGCCGCGACTTCACATTACTGGCGACTTGCGCGCGCGGCAGCGCGCTGGGGGAGTTCTGCGTAGCCCGTCGAAGAGTTCACGCGCAAGCACACA